GAGTTGATGCAATTTGTCCTAAGTTGTGCAGTTAAGTTAGACTGTGGCACAGTTACGAGTGGAAACTAGGTTTCTGAATTCCTAGTACTTAATAACAATTCATCCTCTGAATTATTACTACTGTAGTCAATTTACTAGTTTCACCAACAAGACCTTCTTAATCTTTTCTTAATCTTTTTTATACCCCAGAATTCCTCAGGGGAAAGTTAAGTGATGTAGGTTTGTATGGAGGAAGAGAAATGGTGAGCACAGTTTCGCTGCCTTCTCCACCTGGAGGAGGGCCTCTAAGTCACTGTGAGAACCTCTGATTTAGTGTCTACATTACTAAGCAGGTGATGATAACAAAGAAATGGTGGTGTAGTTCAGACAGTTATGTTTATTTGAAAATATGCTTTTGATTGCTGGGAATATATGAATCTAATGATTACTTCATGTTTATCTACCTTTTTTTTAAATGGTTATATTCTAGGTTACCTACCATGTTCTAGAGAAACATTTGAGGAAATCTGAGGCATTGAATATTTGTTACAATTATTAGCGACTTGATCAACTAAATCATATATGTGGTGAAGGTATAAAAGTTAACTGTTCATTTTTTAATTTGATTTTAGCCTACTCATACCCTGTGTGACTGTGTACTTATGTTTTCTATCTCAGATAATTATGCACCTAAAAGAAAACTGGGTTATTTTTCTAAATTGTATACCTGTTAAAAAACAAAAGTGCCAAATAATAGGTTTTCCTAAAAATCCAAAAGTAGGGGCGCCTGGGTGGCTCAGTCAGTTAAGCGTCCGACTTCCAGCTCAGGTCATGATCTCACGGTTGTGAGTTTGAGCCCCGTGTCGGGCTCTGTGCTGACAGCTTAGAGCCTGGAGCCTACATTGGATTCTGTGTCTCCTTCTCTCTCTCAGCCCCTCCCCCACTTGTGGTCTGTCTCTCAAAAATAAATAAATGTAAAAAAAAAATTTTTTAAATCTAAAAGCAGAGGAAGGAAACGAAAATTTCTCATAATTCCATAAGATAATCTCCACTAACTTTTCTTAAAAACAAACAAACAGTAATACTAACAAGTGGTTAGAAAATTCCAACAGTATAGAAAGAAAAAAAGTCTTCTTTCCCCAACCCATTCCCTAGAGGTAACTGTTACAGGTTTTTGTGTATACTTCTAGAGAAAAAAAAAATCCATTTATATTTCAGCCCAATTTACCGTATTCTCTACTTTTTTTTTAACTCCTAATATATTTGTGAATAAACAAATGTTTTTACATTTATTTTTCTCATTCACCACAGACTTTTGTCTCTTTTTAATGGAGTAATTAGTGTTTCGTTGCTTGGAAGAACTGTATTTCATTTCTAACTAGTTAAATGATAGACTTGAAAATTTTTCCCAACTTCTTGCTGTGAACCGCTTTATGGTAATGACTGTTAAACATATATCTTGATATGCTTTCTTAGGCACATCATTAGGGTAATTTCATATTAGCAAAATGGTCACTAGAAGAGTTAAACCAATTTGTATTTTTCTACCAATAATGTATGAGTGCATTTTAAATACATTTTTAATTTCTAATGAAAAATCTTTACTGTTTGCATTTTCTAGTTTGTGTTTTTTCTAAAAATAGGTATAGTTACAAATGAATACCTATTTAACAGCTCGTTTTAAACAGGTACTAATTTGTGCATCATTAATGGTAGATGTTGCAGGTTTTCCTAGAAGATACTGTTAACATACCAGTTCCTAAATAGACATAGATGATAGATAGTCTGACATGAAAAGTGATAACTTGCAGCCACATTTTAAACATGCTTTGAACAGATGAAAACCATTTAAAAAAGAAGAAGAAAGTAAGGGGAAAGAAGGAGAGCGGTAAAGAGAAAAAAAATTTAATATAGTTGGTCACTTAGAAGGTATAGAAGAATTCAGGTCCTAGACTTCAGTTTCATCTTCACTATTTACCATGGAGGCTCGATCAAGTCACTTTCTATCCTGGGTTTGCTAATCTATAAAATGACGTTGTCAGAGTAGGTGTTATTGCCTGGAATAGCTATGATCAAGTAACTTTATGCATTTGAAAATATGTAGTACTATATAAATGTAAGCTGGTTCTGCTCTTCTTCAAATACCTAAAAAATGCTCATATTCTGTATGTATATTTTCTGTACTATGAGACTGAACTCTTATTTTGAAAAGTAATTGTTTTGTCTGCAGTTGGGGCAAAAGTAATGCTTACAATACAAACTTTTTGAATGCCAGTTTTCCAGAATGTCAGTTTTTAAATTAATTGAATATGATAAACTTTCAAGAAACAAATCTTACTCTCACCCATCCCAAACTGAAACAGTGGAATTCTATTTTGAACATAGAATACTAAAATATATGTCTAGAGGCAAATCATCATTACTTCCCCTTCTTTATCCTAATCTAGGTAACACGTCAGTCAAATTACACTTCTTGAAACATTCCACTATTTCTAACGTAAAATTATCATTAATACTATCATTGAATACTGAGTATTCTTTTTGCCAGCTAAATGTACAGATGATACCAGTCCTCCAAATATTTGGTATCTTAATTAACGGAAAATAGTTGGGACCTTTTTCAGAACTTTAAAGTGATAGATAACTTTAGCAGTAAAACAACAATCAGTATGGTATTGGCAGTTAGTGCTCTTTGAGACCTTTTAAAAACTGCAGCGCCATTCACAATTCAGGATCTTTGTTGTTGCCAGTATCTAACATCAGTGAAAATGTACCTTTTATTCTTCAGAAGAATAACATTTTTAATCAGAAACCCCTTTTTGTCAGAAGACTGTTAGATGGAATAATTATTGGAGTGTTCAAAGAGCCATTTCTCTTAGGCTTCTAATTTGAAAGAAATGCTGATTTTCTTGTTTATGCTCTGCAAATCATTTCAGAAGTTTGATAAAAAGGAAAAACAGCACTGCGAGGCTGCTTTGTGAGTGGGGGGCATGGGACCAGATAAAGATAGTCATCGCTGCTGTAGCTTTGCATGACATAAAAGTGGATTAATATTTTAAAATACTCATTTGCTGTGTAATAATTTGTGTGGTGGTTATATCCATTTTGAGCTAGAAGTGTGTTACTCTGCCCATAAGATGTTAGCAAGCTAGAAACCCTTTTTATAGTTACATTACTCCATCACCCTGCTGTTCAGCTTCCTATTAGAGGAATGGAATTAAAAAGTAGCACTGTTTTGAGTCTAGAGTAACTTTTAAGTAAAGATAGTGGTGTGACATTTGAAAATATAATACTGAATACTGTCTGTCTTCTGTAAAATAAGTTGATGTTATAGTCAAGAGCCATCTACGAATTAAAAGGGAAAAGAAATAGGACCCTTGGAAAGTGTGCTTCAAAAGAACCTAAGTCACCATGTACAATTGAGAATGTCATACTTAATACAATAGCATACTGTGGACAGTTTTCAAAATAGAATTTTAACACCTTATAAGAAATTTGTGTTAGTTGCCTAGCTTTTGAAAAATTGGGCACTTTCCTCATTTTATTTTGTTCATGGCTCTCATCCCTATTACTTAAAAGAAAGAAGGAAAATAGAGATCTTCCTTATGGTTGGGTTATATATATCCTGATAAACCTATCATAAGTTGAAAATATCATTAAGTCAGAAGTGCATTAATATACCTAACCTACTGAATGAACATCATAGCTTACCTCAGACATGTTTAGAACACTTACATTAGCCTACAGTTGGGCAGAATCCTCTAACGTAAAGCCTGTTTTATAACCAAGTGTTGAATATCTTATGTACTTTTCTGAATACTAGTCTGAAAGTGAACAACAGAAAGGTCTTATGAATACACAATGGTTATAAGTGTATTGGTGGTTTGCCCTTGTGATCGCATGCCTGACTGGGAGCTGCAACTCGCTGCCACTGCCCAGTATCACAAGATAGTATCATACCACATGTTGCTAGCCCAGGAAAAGATCAAAATTCAAACTTCAGTTTCTACTAAACAGGTATTGCTTTTGCAGTATCATAAAGTTGAAAACTCTTAAGTTGAGCCCTAATTGTCAGGGACTGTCTGTGCTAGAATAACTCACTCTTTGCTAATAATTTTGGGCTTAGCGTCTCTGACTTCTAATGGGCATGAAGTAGCTCTGAATGAATAAAAAAGGTTTTAACTATAAAGCATATGTCATTTGAAGCATCTTGAGTTTTTGTTACATATTTATAGAAGTTTATGTTTATAGATGACTTGTTTGTAATTGTGAATTAACTGAATTTAGATAAAATAATAGCCTTAAACTGTCAAGTGGTCATATTACCAAAATAAGTTGCTAAAATTTTTATTTTTAAATTTTCTGAATGCTTATAGTTAAATTTATGAGGGGTAGAATGCTACAGTAGAAGCAGCATTATAATTGAGGATGTTTGTGATTTTTCCATCAGAGAACTTAACCTCTCTAGACTTTAGCTTGAAGGTTACTAATTCTGTGATAATTTAAAAATGTTTGTTTGTAAAGTTAACCTAATGTACTATTTGGTGCTTAATAGCATTTTATTTTGTTCCTTCTACTTTCCTACGACATAATTTTTATTTAAAATATTGTCTTAAGGTGTTTTCGCCTCCCTTCTTTCACAAATTTTAAGCCAGAGACCAGCTTGATACTGGTGAAACTTTTGTGTAATATCCCCTGTATTGATAAGAGAGAATATTTCAGAAAGTTCTAAGATCTAAAATCAGATCTTTTAAGCTGCATTAGTTCTGAGACCCATATTTGCCTTTAAAATCTGAATCAATTTCTTAGGTCTTCGTTTCTAGATTCAGGAGTGTTTGAAATTTGTGTTTAAATAAACATAATGTCAGACAAAGGATTATGGGGAAGGTTTTAGTTTGTCTTAGGTAATTCAGACATAAAAACTTACTGTGATTTTTGGTGTCAAACTAGCCCTTGAATAATTCCTGTAAAGATTTATTATACAAAGATGCTAATTTTTCTTCTTTTCTCCCCCTCCTCAGCCATCTGTTGAGTCTTCAAGTCCAGGTAAGTATTTTCTGTGTTTTCTATAATTTCTGTCTGACTAACATTTGTCCTATTATAAAAAGTATAGAGGAGTTAGACTATCATCTGACTTGCTTTTCTTCTGACTGCTTCTTTTCTCTGGGGAAAAAGAAATGGATGAAATATTTGACTGCCCATGAAAGTACAGGTGAGGCTACTGTGAGTTCAACCTCCTGACTACTTGTGGGTTCACTTTTTTTAATGAATTATTATGTGTATTTCTTACAGGTTTTATTGGCATTTGATTTCAAGTATATAACATGTGTTTTTTCAAAAGGAGTCACTAACTTAGAAATATTTACTTGTATGAGAAGCTCAAAGTGTGTGAGAAAAAAATGCATTTAGTGAGAGAGAAAAAATAATGTAAGCAGAACATTCAAAAATGAATATTCAATGTTGTAAATTAAGGAGGTTATGTTTAGATTTGAGTAGGATCAAATTTTACCCTCAGACCATATAGTTGTGGTGATCCATATTCTCTTCCAAATATAGTATAGGTTCATTTTTTTCCTTAGGGTTTGCAAAAGTGATCTTTTAAATTTCTTTCTAATGTTTGTTTATTTTTGAGAGAAAGAGAGACAGAGTATGAGCAGGGAAGGGGTAGGGAGAGAAGCAGACACAGAATCTGAAACAGGCTCCAGCCTCTGTCTGAGCCATCAGCACAGACCCTGACATGGGCTCAAACTCCAGAATGGTGAGATTGTGCTTGAGCCAAAGTCGGACGCTTAACCGATTGAGCCACCCAGGCACTCCCACAAACGTGATCTTTGACCCATATCTGGGCCACAGATGTTTTTTTGTTTGGCCAGTGTAGTGATCTTAAAACTTAAAATATTTTATATAAAACCTGAATTTAGGTTTCTCATGATGAGTCAGAGGTTCTGGCACCACTGAACCACTACAACATTCCTTTAGAGCAACAGTTAGTTGGAACTAAATAGCATAGCAGTCAGGAAAGAGCCCAGTCTTTGCCTCCATGTCCAGGGACTTCACCAAGAGAGAGGACTGCCTTCTACAATGGAGTACATGTAAAGAACGGTATGATACAGCTGAAGACTCATAAAGGGAACTCTGTTTTATTTGAAAACGTCTCATATATTTTGAATATTTAGATATGACACATTACTGAATTTTCCAGATTATTAAAGCAGTCTTTCTGTGTTGTAAGTTTTAGAAGGAATGTTTGTAATAATGCTTATTAATATATGCCTTTTTTAATGGTTTAGGGCTCTTAATATGAACACAAATAGTTGTACTCTCTGTAGTACAATTTATCAAGTAAGAGTTGAATTAGGATACCTCCAGATCTCTTCTAAATGACTAGGTGCTCAATTGACTTTGAGTTTTGTCATTTTTATTTCAGCTGCAAATATCTTACACTTTCTAATAGTCTTGGAAGTAAAGTGTATTAGGCATTGTGAGATTTCTAAAACTCAAGTTTTTTAACTTCTTAGTTTATAAATATGTTCTGGATGGTTGAGGTTGGAAGTAATCTGATCTCAGATAAATAGCAGATTATTGTTTCCTTTTTAGGACATGGAATTATACCCAATATTTTTTTTTCTTTCAAACACAGACATCTTTTTCATCGAAAAAGTGGGCTGTAGTTGTTTTTGTTAATGTCACATTGCAGATAGACTGTTTTAGATATTTTTCAATGAGTTTTGAGAAATTCATCAGGTAATACATAGGCTCAAAAAAAGTAATTACTTCAAAAGTGATACTAATAAATAGCTTTCTCAGTTTCCATTGCATTTGAATTGGTCTAGGCTGAACTGGAAGAATAGTGGAGCTTAAAGAATACAAATGTCTTTGGTGGCCTTTACTGCTTGCTGAATGATTATACAAATAAATTGATTTTTTTGTTTTGTTTTGTTTTTGGACTAAGGAAGATCTTTTGAAGTAGATAGTGTTTGTAATATCAGGTTTCTGCCCAAGGGAATATTTATTGTTCTTACAATACTAACTATGGACAGTTAACAAAAGTTGGTGGGAAAAATTAGGAATAGAGGCTTCATGTAAAAAAAATTTTGGTCCACTAGTAAAAGGCTGGGCCCTTTGTAACATCTGTACTTTGGAATTGATGTTAGTAATAAGAGTCATATGACCCAGGCTCAGTAGTTTGTCTATGGACTTTCCCGGTATAGATCTGTGGAGGTAAAATACAGGGCTTTACCTGTAAGAACAGTAGTCATTAGAGGTAGGGATTTAGGGAAGGGAAAGAAATAAAGTGATTAAATGAATGTACATTTATATTAATTAATTATGTTTATATTAATATATATTAAATTTAATTCATCTTCAAATTTTTTAAAAGATGTAAGATACCTTAGTAATTTTGTAATAGGGTACAATTTTATTACCAAGCTGATACTTGCCTTAACTCTGAAGCAAAATATTTATTTACACAAAGTACCAGACTCCCTGTCCCTAATAATTTATTTTGGGGATTTTTACCTCTAGGAGACAGCCTAATACGTTGGCCTAGTAATTAACAAAAAGGAAAATGGTTAATTGTTCTCAATAGGGCAAAAATAAGTCAAGTAAAACCAAGAAGTCAGATAAAGGCAAGACAAGAAGTGAAAGTTAGAAAACAGTGTGGCATATATGTGGTGAGGATTGGAGTGAGAAGGAAGAAAAGGTTCACCCGCACTTTGTTATTTCTGGTAGTGAGAGGGCTTTAAAGCTTCAAGTCTTGAAGTGGCAAGGCTTTAAAATATAAATGGCTTTGCAAATAATAACAAAAAATGGGAGCGCTCAGGTAAGTAGTATAACACTCATAACTTGGTGCTGTGTACTCGTGAGCTTGTTTTGTTTTTGTTTTAGTTGGTAAAAAAGTATAAGTAGTTAGGAATTAAGCATAATTATTTTTTACAATATTTGCATTCAATAGGAATTAGGATAACAGTATACAGAGTTGTGGTGTGAGGTCATTCTGTGATCTTCCTGCCTACAAAGAAGAAACGTACAGCATCATTTGTAGGAAAACATGATTATTGATTAAATGTCCTAGAAGATTGCTGGGTGAACTGAAAGTTTTGGGAACATTTTTCATTAAAAACTCAAAAAGAAGAAATAATGATTGGGACAGAAAAGCTACAACTAAATTAGTGGTTCTCGAACTGTTGTGTTATGGAACTTTTGTGGCTAGTCCCTCAGCCAGTACCAAGATGCTTTACTAAAAATATGCCGTCCTTTTCTTAATTATCGGAAGAAATTAATACACTTTTCTAAATATTTTTATTTTGTAAATCATTCTAAAACTGGTAGTTATCTGTACGATAAAGTGATTGCTGATTTAGAAATAATGTATTAGTTATTTTATATTTAATATCAGTAATATGCACCTTAAAGAACAGAATGACTTCTAAGTGCTTCACCACCTGACCTGGCTTGCAGTTCACTCATCTTAGTAAAAATAGGTTCTCTTCAAGTATTCTTTGAGGCAAGATACCCAATGTCTCTGAGGCTGTGGCTTGCAGGAGGCTTAGAGCACGGTAAAAGCACAGGCATTGGAATTAGCAGACCCAGGATTCAAATTCCATCCTTGCCACCTACTGACTCTAGGAGTTTAAACATGCTTCTTAAACTCTCCAAACCACAAGTTTTGGTTTTATCAAATTTTTGTTTGAAGATTAAATGAGATATAATGTAGGTGAAGTGCTTGAGCCATAGTATTTGGCACACAGTAAGCACTCAGAAAATGACATTTACACTGAAAATTGAGGGAGATGACAAGAACCCTGAACCTTGAGCATCCCCTTGTCCCTAATAGTCTGGTGTTCAAGAAGTCAACCTCTAATGCTCTGTTTTACTTATTGGTTCTCTTACTGGACTGAAGGAAGAGCATACCGATGTAATATATTACTGGTTAATGGTTTTAACCTTTATTATTAATAGATTAATAATAATTTTTATATATTATTTAACAAACAATAAAATTTATTAATAAATTTTTAACAGTTTAAGTTGATAAAAGAAATTGCTGACTGATTTTTTAAATATTAAATAACTTGTTTATTTGTATAAAATTGCATTTGCAAACTTAAGTTTGCATATTGCAAATGTGGAGATAGCCAAATGTGGAGATAGTTTATAGAATGTATATGCTGAGCATTTGCAATCTGCAATTACAGGCTTGACACTATTGAGTACAGGACTATTCCCTAGCCAGAAGGATAAAAATAGACTAGCTTACACATCAGTTAGCTATTAGATTATTTTCAATGAGTTGGTAAGAGTTCTGTATACAGTTTTAATAAATTTTGCCTTTATATTCTCTATATGAATTATTTCAGACCAAAATCAACTAAATTAAGGACAGCTACCTATATTTTAATATATTTCTGTGGAAGTGCTAATAGAATAATATTTGAGTGCAGCTGTATTTTCATTAGACTGTGTATGCAGATGACTGTATATGTCACATGACTGTATTCTCATGGGCCATAAGGACTCATACTCATTGGGTCTATTAAACATCCATCAAATGATTAAGAATTGTGATATTTCCCACATGAATTATCATTCTTAGTTGATGTGATCCATTATTTACAACTGAAATTTTGTGTTTAGAATATGATAGGACTCTCTTTAAGGGCTGCACACATTTTTTTCAAAAGCTATACTTCCCTCACCCCTACCAGTTGCAGTTTTAACTGAATATATAGAGGTGAAACAGGACAAAAACATAATTACTTAGAGAAGAGATTTTTCAGGGACACAGTGATGAGTAAAGGCAAGAATTTTAGAAAACAAATAATACTCGATGTGCATAACTTTTCCCTGATAGTTTTGTTTGACCTGTATCCAACTTCAAATACATATACCTTAAATTAATATTAATGAGATAACACTTAATTTGTTTTACCAAACTTTTTAAAATATTCTTTACAGGAGGTTCAGCAACATCAGATGACCATGAATTTGATCCATCAGCTGACATGCTGGTTCATGATTTTGATGATGAACGAACATTAGAAGAGGAAGAAATGATGGAAGGAGAAACAAACTTCAGTTCTGAAATAGAGGATCTTGCAAGGGTAAATAACAGTAAGAGCTAGAGTATGAAATAGTTAATGGCTTTTTTTGCGTCGAGAAATTTGAAATTTTCATTCTCTACCTTTGTTTTTGGGGAAGATTGGTGTTATATATAATTGATAGTGAAAAATTCTATGTGGTTGTAGGCGGCATATTTATCGTTTGAAATGAAAGGCATTTAAAAAAATAACTTATGTGGAATAGAATTAAAATAGTTATTTCGGTAAAAACGTCACGAATATCTGGTCAAAAATAGGCTATAAAAATATGCTGAATTTCTTCTTACATACCTCTGTCATCCCTCAGTTATTGACTTTTACTTGTACCCTTTCAGAGCCAAAATTTCTTTTTTTTTCTTTAAATTTTTAACACTTTTGTATTATTTTTGAGAAACAGAAAGAGACAGAGTGTGAGCAGGGGAGGGGCAGAGAGAGAGGAAGACAATCTGAAGCAGGCTCCAGACTCTGAGCTGTCAGCACCGAGCCCAGTGTGGAGCTTGAACCCACAAAACCATGAGATTCTGACCTGAGCCGAAGTCAGATGCTTAACTGACTGAGCCACCCAGGCATTCCAAGTCAGAATTACATCATGTTTCTCATTTCCCGTTTATTCTGTAAAGTACTCTGGATAGTTTATGTCCCTTCTATCAAGATGACTAATGATCTTACTATTCTATTCATCATTTTTCTCTATTCTCAACCATATTCAACAGTTACTGCTCTCTTTTACTTGAATTCTGGGTATCCTAATGTCCAGTTTTTCTTATTTGTTTCTATTCAGTATTCTTTACAGACTCCTTTTCCTTCATCAAAGGATTAAATTTAGAATTTCCTAATTCTCAGTTCTGAACTTCTCTTCTGTCTATAAATCAGTGCTCTTCAGAATGTAGTATGAGGGTCACCTGCTTCAGAATTGCTCATGGACTTAAGAAATGCAGATTTCTATACCTCTCCCCAGGCATATAACTGGAATCTTTGTGGGGTGTATACATGAAATTTGGAAATTACTAAATTAGGTGATGTATTCTAATCCATTCCCATGGTGTCAGTATTACTTATTTTTCTAGCATTAATCTATTCCCTGTCAGTAATTTTATTTAACCCCCTGCTTGACATTTCTGCTTGGATATCTCTGTAGACATCTTTAAATTTTAAGTGTCCAAACAGAACTGTTGATTGATCTACTTCCTCCATCTGTTCCTTCCCTGTCTTCAATGGAATAAAAAATGGCACTCTTTTACCTTATTGCCTAAATCAGAAATCAGGAATTTCTCTTCCTTCGTTCCAGTGCTCCATCCTGAATAAGCCTCTCATTTCTTTCCACAAAGATACCTCTTATCTGACTGTTGTTCTGTCTCTGCTGCCACTCTCTAGCCCAGGTCATGGTCATTTCTAGCCTAGCCTGTTATGGCTTCCTAACTGGATTTTCCATTTCCTCTTTTACCATTCTTCCCTCCAATATATTTCTATAATAGCCATGTTGGTATTTTCGAAATATAAATGCATTTGTGTCAGGCTTTTATTATAATCTTTCAGTGGCCTTCTGTTAACATGGGAAAAAAATCCAAATTCTTGACCTGGCCAGCAAGGCCCCTGTCATGCTATTACATAGCCACATCAGCTGCTTCTGTTCTTAGATATGCTGTTTCTTCTTGCTTCAAGGCCTTCAACCCTTTCCTACTCCTCCATATGTGCTTTCTGAAGCTGGTTCCTTATCCCCTTAAATCTGGGCTTAATGTTGCCTCCTCAGAATGACCTTAACCTATCCCCAGTTAGCCCCATTCAATGCTTTCTTTATAACCAACACAGTTTGTAATTATATGTTTGTCTGATTGTCTGTATCCTCCTTTAGTTCCATGAGAGGAGTGACAGTGTTTTATTCACCAGTGTATTTCCTGATCCTTAGCAAGAGTGGTCAAACTTATAGAATGAAAGGATAAATCACTCTGGTATGCTCTTATTAAAATGTATTGTGTATATGATCTGTAATCCATGACAAAAAGAACATACAAAATAAGTAAAGTGTAGTATCAGCCTTCACATAATATTGTGGAAAAATGAATTCTTGTACTTTTATAGTAATAGTGTGTTTCCAAATTTTAGTTTTTATATTGTACATTTAAGGAACTAGAAAAGGAATCCTTTTACTATCTAGTCAAATCTTGTCAGATGGCCCCTTTTTGGATCTTTTAGTAATTAAAGCTAGCTTAATCCACAGTGCCTAAGCAGTTCAATATTTTATTATTTTAAGCCAGAAAACAGAGTTGGTCTTAGTGACAGTGATGTATAGTTGTTATAAAAGCTTTTCAAGAAAGAGTTAAAAAGCACATGAAGAGCCTGGAGTCAAAACTGTTCTTTACAAGAGACTGGGAAGTCATTCAGGAGACCATTATAGTTTGTTTGAGTGACTCAGGACCTATATAGCGAACATCAGAGGAAACGGTTGATTTAGTAATCAAACACAGTCACTTCATATATTTATTAAATGGAAGGCAGTTATTTGCCTATATTTCACAGAAACTTCTATCTCTTTAGATGTATTTTCATTTCTGCATAACACATCCGTGGGATGACACTGAAAGGGGGAAAATCTTATATATTCCATTTTCTCACACTCTACATTGCTCAAATAACTGAGTAAGTAGTCACTCAGGAGGAGATAATCAGTACAGGTTGTGTGGTAGAATGATTATTCTTTTTTTGTCCTGTTTCTGAAAATAGGCTATTACATTTAATTAGCACAAAATTGCTAATGGCTTTGCTAAAATTTTGGGCATGTTGTTGTTTCCTATTTATCCTTTATTCTTTCTCCTCTGGTCTTTTACAGCCTCTTCACATTTGTTTTCAGGTGACCCTTCCTTAGGAAAAAGAATTTAAAATAGAATTATTCATAGAGGATATAAAAACGAAAAAAAGATAGGGGAACCAATCTTTTATCATTCTCTTCAAGCAGATAGTTGTAGACCTTTTCAAATGCTTCTAACTTTTCCCAAAATAATTAAGACTTAGGTTTAAGTTGTGCATAATCACCAATGCTTTCATCTGTAACCTGCAGCTAAGCTAGTTTAGAGCCAGTGTGTTGTGTTTCTTAAAGTTATAAACTTTAGGTATGAACCAAACCAAATTGGGTTTTGTTTTTATTTAAGAAATGAGCCAGATTTTCTCATTGATTACTGATTTTCTTTTATACAAATGAAACATTACAGTTCTGTCAAGAATCAGGTGATTTTTTACCTGGCATGTTGGTTATATGGAATGGACTTTTGATGTAGTTTTGACAGAATTCTGACTGGTGATTTATTCAGGAGTTGTAAATAACTGCATGAGGTGTAGTTCTAAGTTCATGCAGTTTGACATCTAAAGTTTTAAGTGAGAAGTAGCTTATTGTAGAAGCTTTGATGTTTGTTGTGTCATTTCAGTACAGTTCAGTGCAGGATGAGTCTTAGCATAAAACTTCTATAAGTTTAGCATTTGAATATTTAAATAGAATTAGATATAGAGGTTAGAATTTATTGTGGTGATCTTAGAAGGGGTATCAGAATCATTCCTGTAGTGAATATACTTTTGTTTGCTACGAGTAGCAATATGCAGGTTGGCTTAACTCTTTTTCAAATGTACGCTTAAAATTTAGTCTGGTTTTGAATGGCACAATTGTAGCAGTCTGTTTGGGAGAAGAGGGATCAGGATCAGCTATATCTTTATGTATTTATCTATATTTTTTTAAAAAATCACATTATAACAATATTATACTTAATACTCACTTTGAAGTGCTAGACACATACCATCTGGAGAATCTCCAGAACTAGAAAATAAAGATTAAAATGTGAGAGTGTTTTTTTAAGTATACACATGACAGGAATTATATAGAATGAAAAGAAACCCTGGTGTGGGGGTTATAAAGAACACTGCCTGCATCCCTTTATAGTTTTTCTTACAGTGAAGCCCCAACAACCCCAAGAGGTTGATTACCTTAGGAATGGTTTCTCTAGCCCAGTCTGGATGTGTAGTCTCTTAAGCCATCCTAGCTGGAAATCAGTCTCTCTCCTCCTCCCTCCCCTCTTCCTTTAGTAGCATTTACTGTTAAATTGGTTGTTGTGGTACAAGGTATAAGAAGAGTACTGTGTCCATCCACCAAAAGACCCTTGAATAGCCAGTATCTGCTGTCCTGTGCAGTCGTTTCTAAAAGACTAACCTGATACGAAGCTGCGAGGGACCCACTCCCCTATGGCCAGCAGATGGACACCACTCTAACCTTAATATAGTGCTGTAGTTATTTGGTAACTTTATTGTTTTGAAGTTAAATGGCAGATTTAATTCAGATAAAATGTCTTTTGAAACATCTGTTCTTTTTACCTCCAGCTAGCTTCCCTTTAGGTTATACAGACATAATTGCTTCTCTTTTTGTTACAGTGCTTAGCTTATTTCTTAAAGCACGGTATGCAAGTATAGTCCATGGTCCTGTATTTTTATTCATTTTGTGTTGTGTTCATATCTTCCATATATTTCATTTATTTACGGAGAACGAGCGTGCGCATGCACGTGCACTATGCAATGCAAGCAAGAGAGGTGCAGAAAGAAAGAATCTCAAACAGGCTCCACTCTGTCAGTGCAGAACCCATCAAGGGGTTCAATCCCATGAACTGTGAGGTCATGACCTGAGCCGGAGTCAAAAGTCAGACACTTAGCCAACTGAACCACCCAGGCACCCCTTCCTTATATGTTTTATTCCTTATATTTCTCCAGGTTTTGAGGAAGTCAATATATGTGCAAGTATATGTAAAGGTCCTGTGAAACATTCAGACTACCTGGTTCAGAACTCTACTGCAAATGTGTGACTTCAGACAAGTTACTTAGAATCGTTAAGCGTCAGTGTTACTACAAGGATGATATACATAAAACATTTAACCTAGTGCCCTATGTGATAATCACTCAATAAATCTTAGTAGTTATTATCATTCATAAAATTCTCAAAGATACTTGTAACCCCCAAACTATGAAATTCC